AATTTTAAGAACAAGACCAGATCAAATTTTAAGAACCAGACCAGACCAAATTTTAAGAACCAGACCAGACCGAAATTTAAGAACCAGACCATACCGAATTTTAAGAACCAGACCGGACCAGACCAAATTTTTAGAACAAGACCAGACCAAATTTTAAGAACAAGACCAGATCAAATTTTAAGAACCAGACCATACCGAATTTTAAGAACCAGACCAGACCAGACTGAAAGTTAAGAACCAGATCAGACCGAATTTTAGGAACCAGACCAGACCAAATTTTAAGAACCAGACCAGGCCAAATTTTAAGAACCAAGCCAGACCAGACTACATTTTAAGAACCAGACCAGACCAAACCAAAAATGGAGTACGATGGCCATATATAGGCTGAATCTACCAGTCTTCTCTTTCCCTGAAAGAATTCATCATCGCTTGCCAACCATGTGAATCACGACACATTTTTATACCGTAAACTTGGAAAAAAATGTCTGCATTCTTGTACTTCTCCACAACGTACCTGAAATCTCTTGCTATATTCAACCTTAGACGAACCAGGACAGTCAAAAAATAGTTTATTGCTGCCACATCTTGTCGGGGTGTGACCTTTTATCACTTTCCAGCAACGACAGAGTTCAAAAACGTGTACGCGTTCTTGTAGGTGATGAGTTATTTCCCGCCCTACGACTCCTATCCAACTGTCGAAACTTCGCTCGCCTCCTGCTCGTCTATCACTATTTCCACGGCCGATGATCGCACGAACCACTATCCTCGGTTTCATGTCTCCACTCGTCAATGCTACGACTCGCCAGCCCATGTTCACAGAACCGACGCATATATATCGCTTCATATTCCATTAGTAAGTAAGAAGATCCACACAGATAGCTTCGTCTCCTGAACTGTTGCATCGTTAAAAAGACTCCCTGTACGTTGGTTGTACTCACCGCAATTTTAAAATCTTCAAGTCTATAGTCCTCCTTTATCTATCCTACATATCCTCATAAAATGCACTTTGTGTTTCTCCCTTAAAACGTCCTCATTTAGCGACACTCTGCCTTGAGTGGCTCTTGGTCTTTATGGAATGTACTCTAGTAAAAAAAATTCACAAATAACAAGCATTAAATGCTTTTAAGAAAAAGATTTTTAAGAATTTTTTTTTTTTACATATATATATATATTTTCGAATTACATTGACAGGATTTGAAAAGCTTCTTCATAAGGACCACAACTTCAGGAACAAAATCCCGGGTGGAAACTTCCCGAATAGTACACCGATAACAATTGACCAAGTTGTTTAAAGCGCAAAGGCCGGCGCGTCCCCCCCCCACCGGCGAACCTGATTGGAAGCCACGCACATTGTTTCTCAACATTTGCATTTTTTCTGTCTTTATGTTACCGAGTGTAACAGCAAAATTGTCTTTTTTTTTTTTTTTCACATTTATATTTAACTTAGAAATGATTAAAGATACCTTACTGGAATTCTTCGAGGTTTTAATAACACTACTGGACTCTACTTTAAACACTAAGAATGTATTTAGCTCTAAGCTGAAATGATGATCCCTCTTCCTGTTGTGACTTCCCGATCCAGTTTTCCTTTCTACTGTTCCCTCTTTTTTTAAACTTATTCACCGTTCTCTTGATTGGTCTTGAATGGAAATTGAAGATTGAAGCCAGAGTATGAATGTTGGTCCCGTTATTAAATGCCTGAATGATCTTTTCCCTCTCACCATTGCTCAGAAGGCAAGTGTAGCTGATACAAAACTATTTTAACGAGTACTCTTCCAAGCTGAATAACAGTGATTCTTATGACAAATAGTGTCAAGATGGCTAAATGTCTTATCGGAAATTCAATGAGTTTAGTGTTTGTTGAAACTTGAATAAAGCATGGAATAATAATAATACAACACAAAATGTACTTAAACAAAATGTATTGACACAAGAACGTGTACACAATATTTACAGAGAGTTTGGTATATTCTTGGGAAGACCGTTCCTGGAGAATGGGTTGACTTAGTCGCAGTCGGGCAGAGTCTCTGGATTGAATCTCTTGATTCCTTCCCCCGTCTTCCCGGTACCAACCATATTTATATGGTCGGTACTCCACTATGTAAATTAGGTGGATCGTACCACAACAGTTTTTTTTTTTTTTTTTTTAGATATAACACATTTTGTCCCATGCTGTTACACGATTTGGACAATTTTTTTACGTTATAAAGTTAACTAACCACAACTGATTATAATTAAAGTAGGAAATCTTTTCGCGGATTTTGACGTCATTTTGGCGGGATTTTTTTTTTTTTTGTCTATATCCATGAAGTCTCGAAAAAAAATGTCCATAATGTAGAATGCGTTAAAATTATTCAAGTTTTCAAAAAGAAAAAAAAATTGCCGAAAAACATTGTTGATCTATTTAAGATGGAGGGATTTATCATGACATGTCTCTAATTTGTATTAAAATACAATTATATTTATTTTCAATTGTTCTACTAGAACTGTTTCCCTATTTTGCATAGGATAAATTATTGTACATAATTTTATTTTATATGAATACACCCTCATAAAAATTGGGAAGCAGTGGAATGGGGAGCCCTGCCTCAAAGATGCGGGGCCCTAACATAGAAGCGTGCACGCGATCCTTGCACTGACCCTGTAAGCCGTTACTTTCAACTTCCTCATTAACTAACCCTCTGACCTAAGTGGGTCTTGGACCTTATATTGGTTGGACACCAGTATAGAAAAAGGATGGAGATATACACCATTGTGCCAATTAATTGAAACAACCTGTTTATTTTCCTTTCTTTTACCATACGGTCAGTTTTAGATTCACTGGAGTGACACTGTAATCGATTTCTATTTTTTCCCCAGATTAAGTTAGTTGCAGTGATATGCAATAAAATGAATCTATTTTCGAGGTGTATTTGTTTGACCTTGACAAATATAGCATAATCCGTGTTTGCAGCGGATTTTATTTTACCCAGACGCTATTGTCTCGACGTTCGATTAGTTGTCCTGGCTAATGTCTGCGATCGATGTTACTCCAAGGAAGCATACAAAAATTGTATCGCTGTACGAACACACTGGCAAGACTTGCCAGTGAGCAAATGAAAGTACTATAGAGTGGACAGGAAACTCTCCTGATTTAAATCCAATTGAGTGTCTACGGTCAATCTGCAAGGAATAACATCATGGAATGGACCTGTCACTGGATCTTGTGTCCTTGAAGACACATAGCACAGTGGATAAAGGCGTCAGTTAGATCTAGTGACAGGACCCAAAGAGTGTGAGTTCAACACCTGGTTAAGGCGGTGGAGAATTTGGAGAGGGGAATTAACAGGAGATAATTGATAACTGACATCCATTAGATATGGCACGTGGAATTAGAACAGTCTACCCCAGTGAGCGAAATAAGGGTTCAGTTCGACATTTCAACCACCTGAGAAGGCCGGAGCGTACAACGGGCGAAACGTTGTAATAATTATGATGAAAAGATGAGGACAATAGTCCGAATAATGTAAATAGTGTGTTAAAATTATTCAACTTTTTAACAATAAAAATATGTCAAGTTGATTTACCGCAAAACAGTGTTGATCTATTTAAGATGGAGTGTGATCTGTTATGGCGTCTCTAATTTGCATTTAAATACATGGTATTTATTTTCAATTTTGCTACTCAAATCGTTCCCCTATATTGCACGCAATCAATTGCACATAGTTAGGTTACAATAAAATTTTATTTGATATGAATACTCCCTCATGAAAAATGAATGAAACAATAGAATGGGGATCCCCGTATTATAGATGTGAGGGAATATCATAGATTCGATAGATAACGAAAGAGGATAGGCGTTACAGCGCTGAAAATAATTCAACACTAAGAAGGCCGGGCAAATGCTATACGGACTCTATAGCGACTACAAAATGAGGGGTACGTTAGGTACTGCTCAGATGTGTCATTAATAAACCATTTTTGATCTCTTCTGTACTAGTCTCTCCTATACTTGATTTTGTTCTGGTCTCTTAACAGAGAACATGCCAGAAGGTTTTTGGGAAGCTGGACGGGTAAAGAGATCCGGAGGTCTTCATCGTGAATATCGAAACTGCTGTATTAGGTTGGTGCAAAAATAATGACGTAAGAATGTCGTTTTTGACGTTAAAAAATACGTCAAAAAACGACATTATTACGTCATTATTTTTGCACCAACCTAATAATATAATTGGAACAAGACAAAACGTTTGTTTGTTTCTTTGCTTCGATAAAGAGACAGTTTGAGTTTATTTTCCTGCTTTTCCATACAACACTTAGTCCTACCCAAAGGGATAAGAGTACTAGGAGTAATAGTGATGGTAGTAGTGGTGGTGGCGGTGGGTTATCAGTTGATAAAGCGGTTGGGGAAGGAGCTGGTGATCTGTGAGGGTGGCTTTATACAAAATGGTGTCTGTGTGGGGGATTAAAAGTCGTTAATGCAACTTAATTTAATATCCGGGGTGCAATCATTATCGTAAATGTTATTAAATCCGGAGAGCCTTTCTATTAGATGGAAGTCGTCATCAGGTTCGCCGCTTACAATCTTCTTCTTCTTCTTCTTCTTCTTCTTTACTGATTTTATTCTCTTCGTCGTGTTATTATTATTATTATTATTATTATTAATATAATGTTGTTGTCAAGGTCTTTCTCAATTTTTCCAAATCAAATTAATCGGTTCACGTTTATTTCTTCTTTTCTTCTGTTATACTTGTTTTTCTCTTTCTTTTTTATTTTTCTTCTCTTGCTTCTTCCATCAACATTTATCTCACTTCTTTTACCATCGTCAATATCATCATCATCATCATCATTACCATCGTCAATATCATCATCATCAGCAGCAGCAGCAGCAGCATCAGCGGCAGCAGCATCAGCGGCAGCAGCAGCAGCGGCAGCATCATCATCATCATCAGCAGCAGCAGCAGCATCATCATCATCATCAGCAGCAGCAGCAGGTGATTCACTTTTCTACCGTGATTTTCTTTATGTTTCATTTCATCTTCTTGCTTTCTCTTCTTCTTTCTTCTTCTTTTTCTTTCTTTCTTTCTTTCTTTCTTTCTTCTTTTTTCTTCTTCTTTCTAATTCTTTCTTCTTTCGTCGTCTTCTTTCTTCTTCCTCTTTCAACTTCTTTTCTCTTGCTTCTTTTTCTTCCTCTTCCTCTTCTTCCTCTTTCTTCTTTTTTTCGTCTTCTTCTTTCTTCTTTTTTCTTCTTCTTTGTTCTTCTCTGTTCTTTTTCTTTCTTATTCTTTTCCGGTTTTCTTCTCTTCGTCGTTATTTTCCTGACGTCTTTAAATATTCAATTCAAAGAGAATAGGACGATGAAGGCATTAATTTTGAGTAACTGATTAATAAGTTGCAGCACTCTCCTACCTACCTACCTACCTACCTACCTACCAATCTTTCTATCTACCTAGTTACTTATCTATCTATCTATCTATCTATCTATCTATCTATCTATCTATCTATCTATCTCAGTGTGTTTATTATCTATCGCCGTCTTTTCTTCTCTCTCTCTCTCTCTATCTATCTATCTATCTATCGCAGTGTGTTCATTATCTATTTATCTATCTATCACAGTATGTTTATCTATCTATCTATCTATCTATCTATCTATCTATCTATCACAGTATGTTTATTATCTATCTATCTATCTATCTATCTATCTATCTCAGTGTGTTTTTATCTATCTATCTATCTATCTATCTATCTATCTATCTCAGTGTGTTTATTATCTATCGCCGTCTTTTCTTCTCTCTCTCTCTCTCTATCTATCTATCTATCTATCTATCTATCTATCTATCGCAGTGTGTTCATTATCTATTTATCTATCTATCACAGTATGTTTATCTATCTATCTATCTATCTATCTATCTATCACAGTATGTTTATTATCTATCTATCTATCTATCTATCTATCTATCTATCTATCTATCTATCTATCTCAGTGTGTTTTTATCTATCTATCTATCTATCTATCTATCTATCTATCTATCTATCTATCTCAGTGTGTTTATTATCTATCATAAATCTTTTTTTCTCTCTCTCTCTCTATCTATCTATCTACCTATCTATCTATCTATCGCAGTGTGTTCATTATCTATTTATCTATCTATCACAGTATGTTTATCTATCTATCTATCTATCTATCTATCTATCTATCTATCACAGTATGTTTATTATCTATCTATCTATCTATCTATCTATCTATCTATCTATCTATCTATCTATCTATCTCAGTGTGTTTTTATCTATCTATCTATCTATCTATCTATCTATCTATCTATCTATCTATCTCAGTGTGTTTATTATCTATCGCCGTCTTTTCTTCTCTCTCTCTCTCTCTCTCTCTCTATCTATCTATCTATCTATCTATCACAGTATGTTTATTATCTATCTATCTATAGGAGAAATGGATAGCGGCTTGGTTTGAGGTATCGGGGTGCCGAGTTCGAATTCCAGTCGAATCAATTACATTTTCACTTACGTGCTAACATTCTCCCTCCAGCTATGGGTAAATAGCAGGACAGACTGGGTTCTATAGCCTTTGATGGCAACTGGTCTATGAGAAAGAAAACTCTGAATTCAAACCTGCTCTTAGAGGAGGGTGAATGGAGTCTCTCTGAGCCTTGGTAGGCAATCCATTTAGTGATGGTGTCACGATAAAAACACCCTTGATAGCCCTAGCGAAGCATCAAGAATTCAGCTATTTGACAAGATTATGAACTACACCAATCAAAGTATTGGTGAGTTCAATCTCGGCTGAGGCCGCAAGATGATGATTATCTATCTATCGCAGTGTGTTTATTACCTATCATTATGTGTGTTCATTATGTATTTGTCTGTCTACTCATGCCAACTGCTCTCACCATTTCCTTGGTGCTCTGATTACATGAATTTTAAGCGTGCTACTAGATTGGCATTTAGGTCCAACCTTTTTCTGTCGAAATAGCTAAATATAACCTCCACTTCTATGCCAAAAGTTTTTTTTTCTCGTACTTCCCGCCTGTTGAACTCTCTTTCGTTTACTTTCCTTCCTGATAATTACAATCTTCAAAAAATTAACTGCAACATCAATCGCTATTTTCTGTTTTCTTGAATTTGTTCCTCTTTTTTTTTAACCCGCTGTGTACTAGTGGCATTCCTGTTTATCGAATTTTGGGCTAATCATTGCTTATCATCAGGTATCCACTGTTTGGCTGATATGGAATATCCGTTGAGTAGCGATTTTTTTTCCTACCTGTGATGCCAGCCAATTTTCGTTTCTGCTGATCCACGGATTGAACTCACGTCAACACATTTGAACACTCATTCATTCTCAACCTGGACCCTTTGGCCCAAAAGTGGACTTGAAAAATATCTTAAATGAGCCAGGAGACACCATGAGCAGTTTATTCATCTGTCAGCATTTATATGATCTACTAAATTTTAGTTTTGTAATATATAGTATATTTTCTGTCACATGGGATTTCTCTTTGCGATTCTGTTTGGTCTTAGCTGATTTGACACAAAATATAAGCCACAAGGAACAGTTTTGAGAAATGCTGAATTAGATGATAGTAACACATATATAATATTATCATACGAAGCCTGTCTGAAAATAACATGACGCGCTGTTCTGCCTGAGCTATGGTCGAAAGAGGGATAAACGGATTGTGTTATCAACTAATATGGCATCTTGGGAGTATAGAACTGTAATCTTAGCTTTCTGCATGTTTTCTCATGGAAGGGCAAATCGTAGCAGCTTCACCGTGACAATGCACCTGCTCACAATGCCCTGAACATCCGGCAGTTACTGGACGAGAAGAACGTCGCCGTACCGGAACAATCTGTCTGTTTACCTGAGCTTGCTCCGTGTGATTTTTTTGCTTTTACTCATGCTCAAGGAGATCATCAAGGGGCCTATTTTGAAGACATGTTAGTTACCAAATTGAAGCTGAGGGCTATCCAATAAGAATCCTTCCAGAATTGTATAGAAGATTGACAGAGAAGGCTGGAAAATTGCAATAGACTTGGGAAGGGTTATTTTTAAGGGAAAAGCATGTAGAGTGTTGTTTGTTATTGAAATAAATTGTTTGTGACATCAGTTCCGTTACTTTTCAGACAGACATTCACTACGCCACCGTTGGACGCAAGATGTGGGTTTTTGGAATTTTATTTTTCGTATTACGAGCACTATATTTTTTTTTATCTTTTTTCTTTCTTTCTATTTATTTTCTTACTTTCTCCCTTTTTTTTTTCTTTTTTCTCTTTATTTTTGTGACCTCCTGATTCTTTCTGTTATATCTTTTGGGATTGAAAGTTGATATCTATTTATTTCCTTTCTTCATTCCTGCTTTCTTTTAATATTTGTGTCGTTAGTCTATATCATTAGCTTTCATGTTTTTGTCTCCTCTTCTCATGCTACCTTTTCTTTCTTTGTTTTTTCTTTCTTTGTTTTTTCTTTCTTTATTTCTTTATTTTTCTTTCGTTCTTTTTCCTTTATTTCTTTCGTTTTTTCTTTTTTTTTCTTTCTTTCTTTCGTTCTTTCTTTCTTTCGTTCTTTTTTCTTTCTTTCTTTCGTTTTTTCTTTCTTTCTTTCTTTCGTTCTTTCTTTTTTCTTTCTTTCTTTCTTTCTTTCTTTTAATTTCTTTCTTTCTTTCTTTCGTTCTTTCTTTCTTTTTTCTTTTTTCTTTCTTTATTTTTTCTTTCGTTCTTTTTCCTTTCTTTCTTTCGTTTTTTTCTTTCTTTCTTTCTTTCTTTCTTTCTTTCGTTCTTTTTTCTTTCTTTCGTTTTTTCTTTCTTTCTTTCTTTCTTTCTTTCTTTCTTTCTTTCTTTTTTTTTTCTTTCTTTCTTTCTTTCTTTCTTTTTTCTTTCTTTCTTTCGTTCTTTCTTTCGTTCGTTCTTTCTTTCTTTCTTTCGTTTTTTCTTTCTTTCTTTCTTTCTGTTTTCTTTCTTTCGTTCTTTCTTTCTTTTTTCTTTCTTTCTTTCTTTTTTCTTTTTTCTTTCTTTCTTTCTTTCGTTTTTTCTTTCTTTTCTTTCGTTCTTTCTTTCTTTTTTCTTTTTTCTTTCTTTTTTCTTTCTTTCTTTCTTTCTTTCTTTCCTTTTTTATGCGGCTCTGCTTCTTTTTTTCGGTTTTTCTTTTTTCTTTCTTTCATTTTTCATTCCTTATTTATTTATCTATTTATTCGTACATTTCTTTCTTTGTTTCTGTCGTTCAGTTCTTTTTTTCTTTCTTTGTTTTGCTTATTTCTTTCTTTCCTTTAATTCTTTGTTTTTTTCTTTCTTTCGTTAATTCCTTTCTTTCTCTCTTTCTTTCGTTAATTCCTTTCTTTCCTTCTTTCTCATCTTCATTTATTTCTTTCCTTATTTCTTTCGCTCACTTCTGTCTCTCTTTTTTGTTTGTTTTTCTTACGTTCTTTCATTTCTTTCGTTAATATTCTCTTTCTTTGTATCTTTCGTTCGTTCATTCATTTCTTTCTTTCATTTCTTTCTTTCGTTCATTTCTTTCTTTCATTTCTTTTTTTCGTTCATTTCTTTCTTTCATTTCTTTCTTTCATTCATTTCTTTCTTTCATTTCTTTTTTTCGTTCATTTCTTTCTTTCATTTCTTTCTTTCATTCATTTCTTTCTTTCATTTCTTTCTTTCATTCATTTCTTTCCTTCATTTCTTTTTTTCGTTCATTTCTTTCTTTCATTTCTTTCTTTCATTCATTTCTTTCATTTCTTTTTTTCGTCCATTTCTTTCTTTCATTTCAGTTTTTCGTACATTTCTTTCTTTCATTTCATTTTTTCGTTCATTTCTTTCTTTCATTTCATTTTTTCGTTCATTTCTTTGTTTTTTTTCTTTCTTTCTTACTTCTTTCTTTCTTTTATTCTTTCATTCATTTATTTCATTGTCTTTCATTCATTGTTTCTTTGGTTGTTTCCTTCATTTCTTTCTTTCTTTATTTTTCTTTCTTTAGTTCATTTCCTTCAGCCAATGATGAGGATGATACTCCGAATAATGTAAATAGTGCACATAATACCTCATCTCAGAAATATAAAAATATACTTTGTTTCTTTTTTCTTTCTTTCTTTCTTTCTTTCTTTCTTTCTTTCTTTCTTTCGTTCTTTTTTCTTTCTTTCTTTCGTTTTTTCTTTCTTTCTTTCGTTCTTTCTTTTTTCTTTCTTTCTTTCTTTCGTTCTTTCTTTTTTCTTTCTTTCTTTCTTTCTTTTCTTCTTTTTTTTCTTCTTTTTTTCTTTTTTCTTTCTTTCTTTCTTTCTTTCTTTCGTTTTTTTTCTTTCTTTCTTTCGTTTTCTTTTTTTTTTTTTTCTTTCTTTTTCTTTCTTTTTCTTTCTTTTCGTTCTTTCTTTTTTCTTTCTTTCTTTCTTTCTTTCGTTCTTTTTTCTTTCTTTCTTTCTTTCTTTCTTTCGTTCTTTTTTCTTTCTTTCTTTCGTTTTTTCTTTCTTTCTTTCGTTCTTTCTTTTTTCTTTCTTTCTTTCTTTTTTCTTTCTTTCGTTCTTTCTTTTTTCTTTCTTTCTTTCTTTCGTTCTTTTTTCTTTCTTTCTTTGTTTTTTTCTTTCTTTCTTTCGTTTTTTCTTTCTTTCTTTCGTTCTTTCTTTTTTCTTTCTTTCTTTCTTTTTTCTTTCTTTCTTTCTTTCGTTCTTTCTTTTTTCTTTCTTTCTTTCTTTCTTTCTTACGTTCGTTCGTTCGTTTGTTCATTTGTTTCTTTTCTTTCTTTTTTCTTTGTTTCTCATATTTTTATTTGTTCCTTCAGTGTCATTTCCTTTCATCGTCATTCTTTACTTTGTCCTTCCTTTCATTTCTTCGTCCCTTCTTTCATTAATTCGTTTTGTTCTTTCGTTTTAATGTTTCGTTAATATTCAATGCCATTTTGGAATATTTTTCATTTTCCTGCTTTCCTTCCTTCATCTCCTCACACTTTTTTTTTATATCGTAATATGAGCAGGGGTTAAAAACGGTAATTATCCGGAAATCATGTCAACTTTCTACAAAATATTAAATACATTAAATATTGAATACAAAAAGAATAGAAATAAGAATGCTTTAATTTTTAGTAACTGGTTAAGAGGTTTTAATCCTCCATTATCTACCGAAATACCTACCTACATTATCTATCTATCTATCTATCTCAGTCTGTTCACATCTATATATCCATTTCTGGTCGTGTCTGTGTGTCTGTCTATCTCTCTCTCTCTCTCTCTCTCTCTCTCTCTATCTATCTATCTATCTATCTATCTTAGTCTGTTTATATCTATATATCCATATTCCTTTCTCTCTCTCTCTCTCTATCTATCTATCACAGTCTGTTCACATCTATCTCATTCTATTCATTCTCTAGCTCTTTCGCAGTCTTTATCTCAATCTATCTATCTATCTATCTATCTATCTATCTATCTATCTATCTATCTATAATTATTTTCTATATATCAATGTTTCCATATTGAGCATCATCGATTTAATCTGAAAAAATATCTATTTGTAGACTATTATGCAGAGTTCAACGGCTAAAGTTGAATTCAATTCCCGCATCCCCAAACAACAACAACAACAAAAAACAAGAAAACAAACAAAAAAAAAAACAACTCAAAAACATCCAGGAATTGAACTACTGATCATAAGGATATCCGATAATAACTGCTTTCCTTTTTGCAATAATATGAAATATTTCTTCTTCGATTAAGAAGAAGAAAAAAAACAATTGATAATATTTGTCTCCATCTCACTCCCCCCCATATATATATATATATATATATATATATATATATATATATATATGTTTGTGCACACACACACACATGCACATATATAGATGTAAAACGGAGAGAAAGAAAGAAGTGTATTGTAGATCAGCAATCAGAAGTTTTCGTCGCAGAGGTCATTGATTATCTATTGGATATCGAATCCCAATGTATAAGCCATTAACATGGCGCTGAATTAGGAAAAGTTTGATGATCGATCACCACTGAATTGTGTTCGATTTTTTCTGGTCGCCCCAGTTTCAGGGATCTGCCTGATAATATGCCACAGTCCGTTCTATTGCATAGCAGGCTTTATTCAGAGGGAACAAAGCAATATTCAATGACTTCTGCTTAACTGATCCAAGTAAATATCGAAATATATACTCTTGTAAGTATACACACACACACACACATATATACATATGTAAATATATATATATATAAATATATGTATATATATATATATATATATATATATATATATATATTATAATTATTTTTTTAAATATTTGTTACATTGAAAGTATCAAGTCCTGTTTCATCCTCAAGAGAAAATTTAGAAAATTTTTGCTTCCTAAATTTTCGCTGAAACAGGGCTTGATACTTTAATTCAATTTAATTTTAATAATTATATTAAAGGTTTTAGGCTCTCGTTTTTGAAAAATGAGAACTCTTATGTAGCGAAGGAATCATATTTTTTCAAAAAAATAATTATAATTTAATCTCTACTTCTGTATGGAGCAATGTTTTTTTAAAATAAAAACAAAAATACTAGAAGAATTATTTACCTAACGTGTTCGTTCTTCCTATTTTTCTACATGGAGCAAATTCCGTCATAAATTTTCCGCAATTTCCCCAATCGACCAGTTCCCACACCTTCTCGTCTTTTGAAAAAGAGTTGAAGTTTATTTCTTGTTTCCTGTTTAATTTTGGGTTCAGGTTCTTTCTTCTAATGTTTAAGTTTGAGTTCATGTTCATTTTCTAATGTTTTAGTTTGTGTTCAGGTTCCTTCTTCTAATGTTTAAGTTTGGGTTCAGGTTCTTTCTTCTAATGTTTTAGATTGTGTTCAGGTTCCTGTTTATCATGTTTAAGTTTGGGTTCAGGTTCCTTCTTCTAATGTTTATGTTTGGGTTCATATTCCCTTTTCTAATGTTTAAGTTTGTGTTCAGTTTTCTTCTAATGTTTAAGTTTGGGTTCAGGTTCCTTCTAATGTTTAAGTTTGGGTTCAGGTTCTTTTTTCTAATGTTTAAGTTCGGGTTCCGGTTCCTATTTTTAATGTTTTAGATTGTGTTCAGGTTCCTTCTTCTGATGTTTAAGTTTGGGTTCAGGTTTCTTCTTCTAATGTTTAAGTTTGGGTTCAGCTTCCTTCTTGTAATGTTTAAGTTCGGGTTCCGGTTCCTATTTTTAATGTTTTAGATTGTGTTCAGGTTCCTTCTTCTAATGTTTAAGTTTGGGTTCAGGTTCCCTTTTCTAATGTTTAAGTTTGGGTTCAGGTTCCTTTTTCTAATGTTTTAGTTTGGGTTCAGGTTCCCTTTTCTAATGTTTAAGTTTGGGTTCAGGTTCCTTTTTCTAATGTTTTAGTTTGGGTTCAGGTTCCTTTTTCTAATATTTAAGTTTGGGTTCAGTTTCCTTCTTCTAATGTTTAAGTTTGGGTCAGGTTCCCTCTTGTAATGTTTAAGTTCGGGTTCCGGTTCATTCTTGTAATGTTTAAGTTTGAGTTCAATTTCCTTTTTCTAATATTTTAGTTTGTGTACAGTTTTCTTCTTCTAATGTTTAAGTTTGGATTCAGGTTCCTTGTTCTAATCTTTAAGTTTGTGTTCAGGTTTCTTTTTCTAATGTTTAAGTTTGGGTTTTGGTTCCTTCTTCTAATGTTTTAGTTTGTGTTCAGGTTCCTTTTTCTAATGTTTAAGTTTGCGTTCAGGTACCCCCCACTCCCCTAATAACACCAACACACGCAATCTTCATAAATGCAAAGTTTTTAAAAAAAATAATCAGTTTTTCTGACGATCAAAAAAGCGTTAAACCTAGGTTCACAAACTCACATCAATCCAACCAAATATATATATATATATATATATATATATATATATATATATATATATATATATATATATATATATATATATATGTTTCATTAAAGACGAGACAAGTTACTGTGATTAAGCTTTTTATTTAATTTTCGTTGTGTTCAAACAAATATTTTCTTTTCTCGAAACAGAGTGTGTAGACAGTGTCCAAATCTTCTGTGAGTCCGAGCGTCACAGACAGACAAATAATCGCAAAAAGCTATGTAAATTATACTAAGGAAATATTCTACCACCCAACAGCAATAATAAATATACATAAACCTATCTAGTCATAAATGAACAGATGACAAAAAGAATTCCTAAATTAAGGGCCAAAATCAAATTATCTACTACAAAATATTTCATACAACTAACCTTAACTTAAAAAATAACAACACACCAGCAAATTCAAAATCACAACGAACGAACATTATTTATGAGTTCAAATGTCTCTTAAGGAACTGTGTTCCTGATCTAACCGAATTCATATATAATTACATCTCTCATACCACTACATGCCGAACCAGATGCCTTATATTACACCTATCTGACCACAGACAAACTTAGCTGATACCATCCGAAACATGCTAGTAGAAAATAGAAGCAAAATAACCTCATCCATATGTAAAAAAAAAAAAAGATTAAAACTAATGGAAGCCTTAGTAATGAAAAATAAAATCCAACACTCCAGTAATATTAACTACGAACACGGCCACAATGTGCTGACTGTGTTCGGAAAATAAAACATCCATATAACTCTAGAAACATACACACAACTCATACCTCCAATTAAAAAGAAAAAACAAAATCATCCTTGATAATGGCTAAAAGTAAAGCCGAAAGTGTTTGGAATTACAGAACATTTGAACAGTTTCTACACACTCTGTGTCCTGAAAAGAAAACATTTGTTCGAACACAGGAAAAATTAAATAAAAAAGCTTAATCGCAGTATCATGTATGCCGTCTTTAATGAAACATGTATAAATGAAGGATTGCTGCCAAAATATACAATACACATAGTGTTTTTCCAAGCGTAGCTTAGATGTGGCCCAAGGTCGAATATAGGAGGTACCCAATGAGGATCGAACTCACTAGTCAGTCATAATTGTTCTAGCGAGACAAGCTCGCTAACCATTATACCGCCTTGAGGTGCCTCTCTCTCTCTCTCTCTCTCTCTCTCTCTCTCTATATATATATATATATATATATATATATATATATATATATATGTGTGTGTGTGTGTGTGTGTGTGTGTGTGTGTGTGTGTGTGTGTGAAATATATATCTGTTTCCGCTTTTCTCATTCAATTTTGACGGTCTAGTTTGAGCGCGAGACTTTCCGCTGTGTGAGCACTGGACCTAGAACATTAATTCTATTTTAGCTGTGATTGGTAAATGTTAGACGTTCATCTAATCTATTTCGAGTGTCTGCGCAAAGATGATACATTTCCGCGGGACTGGACCGCGCGTGAACTTGAAGTCCAAGCGAACATGGTAAAGGAAATGCAACCTTTTCCGATGATGTTTATGGGATAGAATTCTCAAGACTGAGCACGTACCACTCCTGGGAAGAAATCAGATTGTGCGTGCGTATGCGTGGATGGGCGAAAGAGGAAGGCGTCTGGTAATTAAGTGGCTCTCTCTGCGATCATTTGTAGACCTTTCGAGAGTGTTTGAACAGCGAATGCAGTTATCTATCTATCTATCTATCTATCTATCTATCTATCTATTTGAACCTCTTCATATCTATATCTCTATCTATCTGTTTCTATCTATCTATCTGTTTCAATCTGTTTCTATATATATTTCTGTTTCAATGTGTTCCTAATTATTTATCTCAATCTGTTCCTGTCTATCGATCTAAATCTATCTATCTATCTATCTATCTATCTATCTATCTATCTATCTATCTATCTATCTATCTGAATCTGTACCTATATATATCTACCTTTATCTATCTGTTATATCTCTCTGTTTCAATCTGTTTCTATATATCTTTCTGGTTCAATGTCTTCCTAATTCTCTATATCAATCTGTCCCTATCTATCGATCTAAATCTGTTCCTATCTATCTATCTATCTATCTATCTATCTATCTATCTATCTATCTATTTGAATCTGTTCCTATCAGTCTATACCTCTATCTATCTGTTTCAATATATATATATATATATATATATATATATATATATATATATATATATATATTTCTGTTTCAATCTATTCCTAATTATTTATCTCAATCTGTTCGTATCTATCCATCTAAATCTGTTTTTATCTATCTATCTATCTATCTATCTATCTATCTATCTATCTATCTATCACGGAAAAATTTGAAAATGCAACTGGAGTGTTTAAGAACATTTATTTAGAGTTTATTTAGATTTTCAAAAGTTAAACTGACAGGAGACAGACGTGTGGTTATGTCATAATATGACTCGAATTCGTGACATATCATCGCATAGCCACGCCGATCTGATGCATATGCTATAGTCACAAGTCTCTCCATCTCAATTTAACTTTTACAAATCATAGAACTCTGAAACTGCTAAAGTTACTTTAAATAAGTAAAATATTCCAGTTGCATTTTCAAGTACTTTTATTAGTTTATTAGATTCTTGGTGTGGGATAGATAAATAGACTTGACCCTATTTTAAATGTGAATTAAGTTTTAGCGTCTAATATTTTTTTTCTTTTTCTTTCATATTTAACAACTTAAGTCTTTGGTAATTTCAATTATGGTAAGATTAACAAGCCTATTACAAAAATGGACGTTCAAACAGATGTTCCCAGGTCATATCATCTCTCAAAACAGCGAAGACAATTGGCCACGACGATCGTGCGACTTGACGCCTTTAGATTTCTTCCTTTGGGGTCACCTCAAAAGTAAGGTCTATGCCAAGAAGCCAACAACAATTTAACAGCTGAAGGATGAGATAATAAGGCATATTGGTGAGATTGAGGAGCAACTATGCAAAGATGTAATCAAAAATTTAGACCATCGAGTGGAGGTGTGCCGTCGTAGCCTTGGCGAAACTCTGGGTGATATTACTTTTCACACATAATTGCTATGACTTAAATAACATGATCCAATTAATAAATAAATAAATTTTCAACAATAACACTGATTTATTTGTCTATATTTCTGAAATGAAGTATTACTATTGTCCTCGTCTTTGTCGCCATATTTATTACTAAAATTACTATTAATAAATATGGCGACAAAGGTTAGGACAATAGTCCGAATAATAGTGAACACTGATTTATTTACTGCTGACTTTGATCCATCTTTTTTGAAACATTCTTTTACACACACACACACACATACATATATATATATATATATATATATATATATATATATATATATATATATATATATATATATAAACGTGATATAATGGAATATGCATACACCTGTGTTCTCTCTCTCTTCTTGTTCTTGTACCTGTATTCACCTGAGGTGGGTTGAGCCGGATCCAATATTGGAGTTTCATGGGAATTTGGAATTCACAAGCGGTCCCCAACCCGCTTGTATAGCACATGAGATTTGATTATAGTGGTGAAGGTTTCGTGCAGGACCATCCACACTTTTTGAAGGGCTGATTACAGAGACCTGGTGCACTACGTGCTACAAGGTCCCCAAATGACCTTCCGCAGGTTTTGAATTCAGAGTTTTTCCTTCTCCTAGACCAGTTGCCATCCAAGGCTATAGAACCCAGTCTGTCCTGCTATTTACCCATAACTGGAGGGAGAAAAAGAGGATTCACACCTTTCCCAAGGGTATTAGCACGTAAGTGAACGTAATGGCTTCGACTGGAATTCGAACTCGGCTCACTGATTCCTCAATCCAAGCCGCTATCTATTACCCCCACCGTGCCTCCTCTTACTCCACCTATGTTCCCCCTCACTTGAGTGTGATTGGCTGGTAAATATCGACGGACGTTTAGGAGATTGAACAGAGCCTTAGTCTGATAGCTACGTCTATAACGACTACGCCATTGATCTACACTTCTTACGTTGCGACTACGACGCGTACCAGTCGATTACTGCTACCCTATTCTACTTGGTTATAGTGATTTTCTAAGCGTAGCTTAGATGTGGCACAAGGCCGAAAGTAAGGGGCACCCAGTGAGGATCGAACTCACTATTCAGTCGTAATTGTTCTAGCGAGATAAACTTGCTAACCATTACACCACATCTACTTTGTTATAGTAGCCAAAACCACTTAGCTACTTCGTTCAAATATATCCCTTTCCGGGGCATATCAAAACGAAAAAAGACAATAGGAATACTGTAGTTTTAGCCGACGCGTTTCGTCTAATATGGACTTTTTCAAGGGAAGAAACGAAATGAATTTATTGAAACAAATAAACAATTATAAAGAACTAACAAAATGTCATTAGCAACTAGAATAATTTAGAAACGCTATTGTATATTCATATGGTCGTCCCGAAGAATTACGTCAATTACTTTATGTTTGAAGAGAATATTTTCACATGTAGAAATATTGTTTGTTTTGTTGTGTCGACGGATTCAACCATTTTATTTTGATTTTCTTTTGATTTCTTGATATATTTGTTGTGTACGTTGGCGTGGGAAAGTAGTGATTGTGTTGGGAAAGATGATATTGGGGAAAAAAAAAACTGGGCGTAGATTAATATTTGGATAATATTCAATGGCGGCCCTCTCGAGGATTTTCTTTTGTTTCTTGTTTAAAGATATTGTCTTTTTTCCTTTGTACATATTGTCTTTTTCTATAGGTTAATTCTGTGAAATTTTTACATGGAGAAGAACATAATGCTGAATAGACGATTGTTATTCAAACACTGAACCAATTATCCAAAACCATTGAGACAGCCTTTAATCGTTTTTTACACTTATTTCTTTCTCTCACTTTTTATATATATATATATATATATATATATATATATATATATATATATATATATATATATATATATATATATAAAACTGTTTTTACAGATATGATTTGTGTTGGTTAGGAAACAGTTATATTTATTAAAATATAAAATACGTAAAATATAAAATATATAAAATAATATAAAATATAAATTATATAAAATATAAAATAATATAAAATATAAAATATATAAAATATAAAATATATAAAATATAAAATAGTATAAAATTATATAAAATATATAAAATATAAAATAATATAAAATATATAAAACATAAAATAATATAAAATATAAAATAATATAAAATATATAGAATATAAAATATATAAAAAACAAAATAATATAAAATATATAAAAAACTGAATACTTAGTTAAAGAAAATGAAAGTGGTGGATCTAGTTAATATCTAAAATATTACAAACACTAAGCTTTCCCGATGCAGCGATTCCTACCAATGAAGGTTTCATCAGGCAGTGAAAATGACTATTTTCTATCACTTTATTTATATACTCATCGTATTAAATGGAAATTTAACTGGGGGAAATGGTAAAATCAAGAGCACAGAAAATATATGAGAGAGCAGAATGGGAGAAAAATAATATAATTTTTGGTACTCTTTTCCGGGTTCATATTGTTCCAGTAGATATTTTTTGGATGTATGCAGGCTACCATTATTTCAGATCTTTTAGCTAACAATTTTTATTGCTCTGGATACAAAATAATCGCCATCTTTTCTTCCTGACATAATCTGCGCCTAATACATCCAAAACTGTATGGCTTGGCTTTTTTTTTTTTAAATAATCCAACATATATTAGGGCATTTTCTATATTTTTTCTCTTAGCTCCCACACGTAACTATCTAGTTTTGTACGTTTGTACCTTTCTAGTTTAAATGATGATCAATTGTTATAACATCTTTTCTTAAAGCTGCCTTCTGTACACCCAAAATACACTTTATTTTTGCCATTTTCATTTTCCACCACTGCCTTGTAGACTACGCCTTCTATTTTGCATACTCCGTTCAGTGGGCACTTATTTTTTATTTCTACAACTGCACATGTGATTACATATAACATTATCCTACACGATATATTTATTAAAATTCTTGATGTTCTGCTTCTTAATTGTATTGTCTAAGTCGTTAGTACAACTATAAGTGGTGTTTTTGTTAAACATTTTGGGCAACTCGGAAATTTTGGGGAGAGTTTGAAAATATCTTTTCCTGTATTTGTTTTCACTCCTAAATTAAAGGGGTGGGGATTTGAACAAAACGCTGAATCGGTTGGGGTTTAAATTCAAGTCTGGTTTTGTGCCTCTTTTCTTTTAAGGTTCGCACATAGTCTAGCAGGGATACATCCTTCAGCAAGTTTGGAAGTGTGTTTGAAGTAAAATCCCTGTAGATAGCAGCTCCTGTAAGACGTGTTGGGAGGACATATCGACCTACCACGCAGTCACCTACAATTTTTTCAAAGCTGCCTTCTGTACACCCAAAATACATTTTATTTTGGCCATTTTCATTTTCCACCACTGCCTTGTAGACTACGCCTTCTGTTTTGCATACTCCGTTCAGTGGGCATTTATTTTTTATTTCTACAACTGCACATGTAATTACATATAACATTATCCTACAAACCCAGACATTAACCGTAATCTGATGCTGTTGTTTAGCTTGTATTTTGCCATGGGTATTCCGACGCGCACAAAATATTGGTTATATATATATATATATATATATATATATATATATATATATATATATATATATATATATATATATATGTGGTAAATATACACATACATATGCAAAATATATAAATATATATACATAGGTGCATACAGATACATGTATATTTTTTTAATAAAAAATTCCAAGAGGATAGAATCCAGGTAGAACTCAATGTCCAGGACAGAGTAAGGATATAATAAAAAGGCTTAAACACTAATATTCCATGGTCATAATTAATTCCATTGGAATCGTAAATACGATCCAATTCATCAGACCTACAAATTCAAAAAGAAAGCAGAAAAAAATAACTCCGGAAATAAAAATAGAATTTAGAGAGAGTGTAATTATGAGAGTGTGGGACGAATGTTAGAGTTAGAGAGAGGGGTAACAGACGAGAGAAGGTGGGAGATTAAACCTTAACAGAGAGAAGTTTAGGAGAGGTGAGTGGAAGGGGGAAATATGAATGTTGTCGGATGTCTAATACGTTAAAGATACATTTCGTGGTGACATACACACACCATAGATGATCTAATGTTAAGGATCAGAATAAGAGGGAGGGAGAGGAAAAGAAAGAAGAGATGGGGGAGAGAGATGGGGCGGGGGAAACTAAAATTGAAGGACGTTTACGGAAATATATATATGTGTGTGTGTGTGCGCGCGCGCGAACGCGGGTGTGTGTGTATGTATGTGTGTAGGATGTATCAAAAACATTTTATCAAAATTTTGGGGTGGATTCCTCACACCAAATCAAGGACAAAAGTCCATAGAAACATATGTCCTGAAATCCTTCGTTTTTGAGTTTATTATGCTTAAAGAAATTTTACGGTAGGTGGTGCTGTGTTGCCATATAGACTAGCTTACATTTGTTATTCGTGTACATTTGTAGCTAGTCTGTCTGCAACGTTTGACGTCTGTAGTAATGAGTTTAACTGAGAAGAGTTCCGTTTACCAATGGCAGAATATTCATATTGCGAGTTGGTAGGTATCATTTTTACATACGGCCTCGCGTATGGTAATGGGCGCGAGACTACACGGCTGTATCAGTTTGTGTTTGCTCTTTCTCGTGTTGCGACAAATATAACCTAGCCTACATGGCAACATAGCGCCATCTGCCTTAAACTTTCTTTGAACTTAATAACTCAAAAACGAAGGATTTGAGGACATATGTTTCTATGGACTTTTGTCCGTGTATTGCTGTTAGAAAGCCACCCCCAAAGTTTTTAAACGTAATTTTGATACAACCTGTATATCCAAATACATATTTTAAATTATAAAATATCACCTTTTCAACGAAAAAAAAATCATATCACTTCGATGTTGTTCTCAATGTGAAAACGCGTCAAGTGAAAATATTTATTTGAAATTATATTTCCTTACATATTAAGAGTTAGGCCAAGAATTTCGTTCACAACCGGTTGGCTTTGAATATGTAGGACATATGGCATTCTTCAAAAAACTTTATTGGAATTCTGTGGCTGAGTGTCGTAAATTACGTCGGATCAGATTGTGACGTCTCCTACAAAGGGTGAAGCCGGTTCAAACCCTGTCAAGGAACACGATTTCATTATAACTGAAAGGTGGAAACCGACAGACGAATTGAAAAACAAAAACCAAACAAAATAGAGCGTCTATGCAAATATGTGCATCCGCTAAGTAACGTTCAGACTAGTAGGAAACAACATCACACATTGATTCCCTAAAAATTAATATATACATGCACGCATCCACACACACACACGCACACACACACACACACACATATATATATATATATATATAAATAGAGAGAGAGAGAGAGAGACAGACAGACAGACAGAGAGAGAAAGAGAAAGAAAGAGAGTGATAGAGAGGGTGAGCTGCAAAATAGATATACTAGAAGTATTATAACGATTATACGGAGTAGCAGGAAATAATGTCTCTATTGATTCTTTATAAATTAATACATACATAAATGAATACATGTATGCATCCATATCTATCTATCTATCTATATATATATATATATATATATATATATATATATATATATAAAGAGAGAGAGAGAGAGAGA